GGCATGGCCCCATTGGGCGCAGGGCATGGCCACACTGGGTGCTGGCTCCAGCACGTCCCCACGAGAGGGCAGGGCAGGCCGACGCTACAGCCCTGGGCCTGCAGCCAGGTCCCTGCGGGGCCCCCAGGCAGCCACCCCCTCACCCAGCCCAGGAACACAGCCCCAGCGAGAGGGGTGGTGGGGAAAGCCACCTCCACCCAGAGCCCACTGACCCCCGGGGCAGAGGCATCCACGGAGGGGGGCCTGCCAGCCCAAGCGCAGCCTGCCCACGCGTGCCGGGCAGCGGCGTGGGCCAGGTGCAGGCAGCACCGGGGCGGGCTGGTTTGCGCAGAGAAAACCGCAGCTCTGGCGTCAGGGCCAGCATTTCACTGACAGAGGCCCCAGTTCCCGGAGCAGGGTAAGGCAGGCGCTTGCACGCAGACAGCTGAGCTCACACCCCGAGACCACGTCGCTTCAGAGCCTTTATTCTGGAGAAGGTTAAAGCCTGTAGATACAGCAATAAAATATACAAAAAAATAAAATTTTTTACAGTATTGAATGCTGCCCAGGGCTACAGCGACTGCAGCTGGAGGCAGCTACAGGTGAGCACAGGGGCAAATGGCCCTCGTCCCCTCTGAAAACCTCCCAACTTCACAGACCCCCGCTCCTGCCCACACAGCTGGGGGCTGGCCCAGACCCCAGACCCCTCTCTCCCTTCCCCTGGGGACCCTACCCCCCCACCTCTGGCTCCCTGCCCGCAGGCTGTGATGCTGACAGCGCAGCCCACAGCTGGGGGGCTCGGGGGGACACCCCACAGGCTTTACTGGGCAGAAGAGACAGAGCCACATGCTGGGTCCACCCTGTGCCACAGCAGCATCACTGGTACAGACGACTGAGGGTTTCTCTCCACCCAGGGCCAAATCGAGACACATCAGAGACCTGTAAAGCCCAGGGCTGGTGCCCAGCAAGACGCTTCTCGGCTGATGTTACCCAGAGCCTTGGTGCCAACGGCTCCTACAGCCCTGCCCTGAAGCACGGGGCCTGGCCGAGCACAGCACACAACCCTCTCCTGTTAACACCATGGGCTTCCAGGTGCTGGCAGGGGGCAGGCAGCTCTCCCAGTGCCTGCCTCCCCATCCTTGCTCATTGGTGTCTGCATGCCCACTGCATGGAAAGGGCAGGAGGGCTCGCTCCCCCACTTTTGGTAAATACAGAGCCACAACCATGGGCCAGCACACTTCCACCTTCCCTCGACCCCCTGAGCAAGAAAACCTGC